TCCTTCAGTCAATGTGATATTTTAGAGACTTCTCCATGTCTTATGCAGCAATAGTTTCCTTCATTGTTTAGCCAAGTAGTATCTATTGCATTTACATACCACAGTGTGTTTGCCAGTGGTAGAAATCTGAACAGTTTTCCATTTTTGGTTACTATGAATGAAGTTGTTATGGAGATTTGTGTTTGTGCCTTACTGTGTTTTCATTTCTTGTGGTTTATTACTCAAACAAGGTGGCCGCATGGTTTCACGTTCCTACAACAGTGTGAGTGTTCTTTTGTTCCGTGCTTTCACCCACACTTGGGGTTTGTCCATCATTTAAATTTAGCTATTAAGAGTGGATATATAGCAGTCTCTCATACGTTCTCATTTACATATCATACAGTTTTCTCAGTTAAAGTATACAGTTCATGGCTTTTAAACATGCTCAGAGTCATGCAGCCATCTCCACAGTTTAAAGCATTTTGTACCTTGACCTGAAGCCTGTGCCCTTAGCAGTCACTCCCCAAGTCTCTTTGCCCATCACTGGGAAACTAAAGGCAGAGCATGCACAGTTTGTATCAATGCAGTCGAGTGTGGCAGCACCGAGCTTCCATCTTTGCAAGGTCTGTCATGTTGTCATTCTTGGTTGCTTCCTTTTTCTGACCAAATGATGCACACACACACAGAGATTAAGAAAAGGACTTAGACATTACAGGGCTTGGGGTGTAGCTTAGTTTCTTTTCTGTTGCTGTGATAAAAATACCCTGACAAAAGCAACTTAGGGAGAAAAGGTTCGTTGGACTCATAATTCCAAATTACAGTCCATCATGGCAGGCAAGTCACAGCAGCAGGGGATGAGAGACCTGGTTCTGTTACATCCACAGTCAGGAACAGAGAACAGTTAATGCACATGTGCTAGTGCTCAGCCTGCCCTCCCCATTTACACAATCCCAGACCCCTTCTTCAGGGCATGGTCTCATCCACAATTAAGGCGGGTCTTCCTTCATCCTTTAACGAAGTCGAGACAGTTTGTCAAAGACATTCTCTGAGGCAAACCTTAATCTAGAAAGTCCCTTGTAGATACGCCCCGAGGCCTACCTCCTAGGTCTTAGAGGCTGAGTTGTCACTTACCACTGACCATCACAGGGTAAAAGGCAGACATTGTTCGATCGACCGTGAACATTATCTGGTGTGTGTTTCAAGATTTTTTAAAAATAATTTTTAAATTTTTTAATTATTTATTTTTATTTTATATGTGTTGGAGTTTTGCCTGCCTGCATGTCTGTGTGAGGGTGTTAGATCCCCTGGAATGGAAACAACAGACAGTTGTAAGATGCCATGCTCGGAATTGAACCAGGGTCCTCTAAAAGAGCAGTCAGTGCTCTTAACCATTGAGCCATCTCTCCAGCCCCAAGATTTATTTTTATATACATGTATGAGTGCCTGCATATATGTATGTGTATCACATGCATGCAGTGTCCACAGAGGCCTGAAGAGGGCATCAGATCCCATGAACTGTGGTTAGGTACTCAGACTGATCCAGTGCCCTTAAGGGCACTGCTCAGTCATCTCTCCAGCCACCGGAAATGTTTTTAACCTCAGGGTGCCCTTCTCTTAGAGATACATATGCTTTCTTTGCACACAAATGTTCTTTCTCTTTATACCAATGTACATAATAAAATTTTGTTAAGCTAGTGGTTTGTGCTTACACTTCTGATAGGAACTAGGTAGCTGGATCTTGAGTCTACCATGAACACACTTCTGTCATATAGAGTTGTTTTTCCTTCACTGAGTTCCAGTTGTCTCACATGGACCCACAGCTCCACCCTGGTGTTAGGGGAGTGGGCCTGGCTAGGCACCATGTCCACACCTGTTTCCCTGCTCTTCCCTGTTTGTTCTGTGTGTCACCATCTCCCCAGCACACACCCAGAGGCTGGAGAGGACCTGGAGTCCTTGACTCCTCTGCACTCTGCTAGGCCTGGGTTTTCTTTTCTTTATTTGTTTGCTCGACAGTTCCCCAAGCAGCTCTTATCTACTCTTTTTTGTTGGTTTGTGTCCTTTTTGTTTTCTTTGGCTGGTCTTTTATTGGGATTTAGGGGAACAAGAGAAACTTGTGCACTTGCTCTGTCATTTTACCCAGAGGTCAAGGCCCAGTTTATTATCTAAACAGTGCTCAGTTACGTCCCCAGCCCTGCTGTGCCTGCACTGTTACTGTGAACCTCCAGGGGCTTCTACCTCCTTGGTTACTCTCTTGCACCTGGAATCTGAAGAGGTGACCTCTCTAGGACACCTCCTTCCCCACCCATCTTTCCTTAGATAGAGCCCACAGGAGCAGGAGACAGTCTCTTGAGGGAGGCACCATGTCCTCAAGGGAACCAGAAATCTTTGTGTGATGCTTTCTCCTAATTGGGATTATCCGCCTGATCTTTCTCAGTGTGTTGGTGGTGATAAATAGGAAGGCTACCAGTTTGTTTTTTATGTTGATTTTGTATCTGCCACTTTGCTGAAAGTGTTTATCAGGAGTTTTATGATTCCCTTTTGTGTAGGATCATGTTTTCTACAAATAAGAACACCGACTTCATCTTCTATTTGTATCCTTTTTATTTACTTCTCTTGTATTGTTCTTGCTAAAACATCAGGACTTCTCCATTCTTCTTTTGAGACAGGGTCTCTTATGTAACTGGCTGACCTGGAACTTGCTGTGTAGACTAGACTGACCATGAATGCTCTGAGATCTGTCTACCTCTGCCTCCTGAGTGCTGGGATTAAAATTGTGAGCCACCATGCCTGGCTTTATTGGCTGTATTCTTTCACTTGAAATATGTGCATGCTCAAATGGGACTGGTTTGCAATAAGATGAAGGTGTCATTTCTTCTTCTACATTGGGGGTGTAGCTAGTGAACTACACCCTAATTCACATGCTCTGGTTGTCAGTCCTCTCCCCCCATACCTCCCTGAGGGAGCAGTAGTAGCTGCAGAAGCAGCCACAACTGCTGGAGAGGCTCAGCACACACATTGTTTTTTTTTTTTTTTTTTTGGTTTTTCGAGACAGGGTTTCTCTGTGTAGCTTTGCGCCTTTCCTGGAGCTTACTTGGTAGTCCAGGCTGGCCTCGAACTCACAAGAGATCCGCCTGGCTCTGCCTCCCGAGTGCTGGGATTAAAGGCGTGCGCCACCAACGCCCGGCTCAGCACACACATTGTAATAGTTCATCAAGCCGCCCTCCAACTTCAGTAACTATTCAGAGATAGAGGGGCGAGGACCATGTGGTACATAGAAAGATCCTGGTTACTAAGGTTAGGGATGGAAGGGAAATGGGCTGAGTAAGGATGAGGATGAGCATTAGATCAACTGAGGAAAACAATGAGTGAAAAGTGGATGGAAAGGAGAAACCTGGATACTGTTAGGATCCATAATTTAAAGAGTATTACAGCTACAGAGGTTAGGGTTAAGTAAAAAGAGGCAAGAGGCGGGGGTGTATGCAGAAGAGAGGAGAAATGAGGTAGGAATGAGAGGAGAGACTGGGCTATGTATAGAATGAGTATAATTGAGCAATATCAAAATCAAAGCAAGACCATTAAGACATATTTTTGCAGGCCAGAGGTGGCTCAGAGGTTAATTAAGAGCACTGGCTATTCTTATAGAGGACCTGGGTTCAGTTCCCAGGGCCTACATGGCAGCTCACACTGTCTCATGCCTTCTTCTGGTCTCAATGGATACGAGGCACAAGTAGTACACAGACAAACATACCGACAAGATACTCGTACCTGTAAAATAAAGTAAAAATAAAAGTAAAAAGATACTTATATAAGAATGAAAAGTGAAAAACAAAGTGAAAATAATGTTACATTTATCATCATGTCAGTCAGTAACCTCTTTCTTGTTGGGATGGATTTTGAATCCCTCCCCTTCCTGTGATGTCTCACATAGCAGACTACTGATGAGACCTCGAAAGACGCAGTTTGTTGTTCTAGTTCAAACTTTTCAGTCAGATTTGTGGGTATGAAGAGTTCAAACCAGTTACTTTTGGGTTGAGTTTCTGCTCTTTTGCCAGTAGGTGTCAGACCTTCCTTGAGTTTTTCTCGGCCCTCTAGATGGAATGTTGCTGCTGGGAAATTTCCATGTCATGTCCACATGTGCTGGAGGGTGACACTTCCCCACTTGGGTTAGTGGAAGTTAAGTCCAAGGTACTGGTGTGACCATGCCTATACTTTGTTTACCTTGTTGGCCAGACATGTTCTTCTTACCTGGGCTCTGGCTGCCTCTTTGTTCCTGTCTGCTTCCATGGTTTCCACATAGTTTTAGATCTGGTCAGTGATTACTTGGTTCTGAGCTCAGCAGAAATTTTCCATGTTCTTGGTCACCTGTGGAGTTTGGAGGGTGCTTCCTTCTTGGGGTGTGGCTTCAGGGTGTCCACAGATAATCTCACCTTCAGGGTTGCTCTGATGTGTGACACATCGGCTGCTGTCTCCACAGCCTATTAATCGTGAGTCTGTCAGCCTGGGAATATATCTAGCCCCTGGTTGTGTCTCAACCCCTGGGTATAAATCTGACCCCTGCCCCGTCTCTCTAGTTTACTAGTTCCTGTGCTTGTGATGGAAGGAGTGAAGGTGGGTGGGGAGTGCTGGTTTTATTTTGGCAGTGCTTGGGATTGAATCTAGTGCGTCTCACTTGCTATACAAACACCCGAACACTGAGCCGTTCTCTCAGTCTCTCAGGTATAAGGAAATGCTGCTCCTTCCTCACCACCCCCAAGTGTTTGGATTACAGGGATGTACTCATATGTCTGACCTTCTTCTTCTTTTATATTGGGGCAGGGGTGACCATGTAGAGAAAGCAGATTTTGGAAAAATTTATATTTATAAAAAAATTTATACTGACTCATATTTGGCATTCTATGTATTTATATATTATGTAAAACATATTAACTTTTGAACCTGCTGCCTGACCTATATGCAGTCCCATGCTGTATGTTTATAGCAAAGACTTTTACTCATTGGCCTGCTTTGACTTGGTTCTACAGATGCAGGATGGCTGGAGCACATGTCGATGAATCTTTGTTCCCTGCAGTGAATACGAATGAACATTTACCAAGCCTAATTAGAAAAAAAGTAAGTATGTAATGGGGCGATTATGAATGTATGCACCCTTGGTTTTTTTATTCTAGAAATCTTATTTTCACAGGTATTATTCAGAGTATCTTAAGTGTGCTCATTGCTCCTCTCCCATAAAATTTCTAGTTAACTGTAAAGTTTTTTGTATATGAATGCTTTGATACATATAATCTATAGGAAAGGGAAGAGAATGTAGTTGGCCTTGGAAAATTAAAACTTGCCCCAAGACTAGATAGCCTTCTGTGTTTGGTATTTCTTTTTTTAATTTGTATTTTATGTGTTTGTATGTTTTGCCTCCATCTGTGTCTGCACTGCATGCAAGTCTGGTGTCCATGGAGTCTAGAAGAAGGCATTGGATCCCCTGGAGCTAGAGTTGGTTGTGGGCTGCCAAGTGGATGCTGGGGATTGAACCCAGGTCCTTCACAAGAGCAGTCAGTGCTCTCAACTGCTGGCCATCTCTCTGGCCCCCTGGTTTTTCTTTGAGTGTAGCTCACTGAGAATTATCAAAGCACCTTGTTCTCACACAAGAACCACTGTTAGATTTGATGACCTAATCAAGATTGAATGAGGTGGATGAGAACTGTATACTTCGTGCTGAGTATAAGAAGTAGCTGCGGGCTTCTCAGCACTTTTAGAAGATACTGCATGATAAAAAAAAATAAATAAAAAAGAGGATACTATGTGATGTACATCCATTGTTCATCACAGTAAGCCAGGTGCCAGGGCAGTGACAAGGCCACTCCCCCAAGGCTTTTCCAGACTTCCTCATCTGATTCTGGGCAGTTCTTGACTATGCCATGCCCAAGTAAAGGACTTGGGAAAACATGTCGATAGTACACGCTGTTTTACTTTTACACACTTGGTCAACTCAGGCACAGCAGGCATCTCTGCTGTTTCTTCCCTCTGTCACCTCAGCTTGACTAGTGACCTGGGTAAGAGTCCGAAGTGCTCACTACCCATTAGCACATACACCCACTCTGCACAGTGAAACCGCTAAGCTAAGTGTTCAGTTTGCTGGGCTGCCTTTTCTTCCCCACCTAATAGTGTGTCTTTGATCATGTTAATTTCGTTTTATATTGCACATTATGAGTGGCCCTTTCTATATATATTCACAGTCAGTTTTTATGAAGCATGTTACTTGGAAATGTGTGTTTACTTCCTGTACTCACAAACCAGAAGTAGAATTGCTGGCTCAATGTGCAAATAGCCTTGGATGTGAGATTACATCAATAGTGTGCAAGAGCACCTCTTTCTTGTCCAGTGCTTTTGTATTATCTTTAAGCTTTGTCTAGTCTACTGTATAAATAGTACTAGTTCTAGCCTATATTACACTTCTAGAAACCTTCCTTTTTCTTCCCTTTTCCAAATGCAATTCCAGGTTAATTGTGACTTGAGAACCATCATTATTTTAGGTTCTTAGAGGGCAATTTCTGCTCTCCCTGTCACTCTGCCCCCAGCCTGACCATGGCTTGCTGCGCAGGAAACAGTTTAGTCACATCATGGTATTATCTGTTCCCTCTGTCTGATCATGCTCCCCTGAAGTCCATTTGAGACTCACTTTGCAGTGTCCCGTGCCTCAGTGTAGATGGCACATTACCCATCAGCCCTCACTCACACTCCCTGTTGCAGTAGTCGGGCTTTCTGTTGTGGCTGCTGCCCTGGCTCTGTCAGTGTCACTCTGGGACCTGAGTTCCAAGGTGCAGTGTGGATCTGGAAACACCGCTGTTTTCACGTTCTGTGAATACCCTTTTTTTTTTTTTTTTTTGTAGCATCTGAGCCCTATTCTTACTGCCGCCATTTGTCTCATGGTAGAAAGATTCCCAATACTAAGGTCACAGAGTAGAACCTCTATCCTCTGCTTTCCCCATGGGAAGAGTACTCCAGGCACGTCACTAATCCTCCTCACAGAACAATGCACAAACTGTCCTTACTGTGCAAAAGAACACTGTTAAGTAGTACATGTCCCACTGTGCAACAGTGGGCCAGCCTGCTGGACTTGACCTCGCAGCACTCACTAGTAGAACTGAGTTATTTGTTAAGGATCTTCACTGCCACTCATCACTCTGGGGCAAGCTCTGCTATGCTGAGGACCAGTGCCTGACACACAGGAATGTGGTAGTGACCAAGTGTGACCTGACCTAGCTAGTCCAGAGCAAAATGGGGCATGGGCCTACAAGGGCGAGAAGCAGCTGAGACAAGGAAATGCTAATTCCTGTCTTTAGTAACTAAAATGGTTGCTTTTGTGTTCTGTGTCATTGGAAGGAAGTTGGTGTGAGAACAGCAGAGTGCGTAGGCTGCCCTGAGAGCCACCTTGGGTGCTGAGAATGCTGGCATCCTGAAATAGCTCAGGAAACGATTGCAAAGTAGACGGCCTTTTACTTCATCTCTAAAGTTCTGTGTTGTTTGTCAGAATAGTGCCTCAGAAGTAAATACTGCCAACTCCCATACAGTACAATAAACAACTCATTAAGAAGTGATTTTAATTTTGATGTCATTAAAGTTGCCAGAATTATATGGAAAGGCCTTTCTCTCCTGCTTTAAAAAACAAGTAGCAATCACAGAGACTGGAGAGATGGCTCAGCAGTTGTCTTCTTCAGAAGACCTAGCCAGGGTCTCTTCCCAGCACTTACGTGGAGGCTCACAACTGTCCTCACTCTAGTTTCAGGGGCTCTGACACCTTCTTTGGGTCTCTGTGGGCACCAGGCATGCATCATGCATGTGGTATACATACATAAATGCAGGTCAACATTTCTTCACATAAAAACAAGCAAATCACTCTCCTTATTTTTTTTGCTTTTTTTCAAAACAGGCTTTTTCTGTGTAGTCCTGGCTGCCTTGAACTCACAGAGATCCCACCTGCCTCTGCCTCCTAAGTATTGGGATCAAAGGCATACATCACCACCACCCAGCATAAGTAAATATTTAAAAACAAACAGTAAAGAACATAGTACACTTTCATTAATGTTGACCCTTTTTGCCTAGCACAAGTGTATGCAGCCCAAAGATTTTATTCCTAAAACACCAGAAAATGACAAAAGACTTCAAAAGAAATTTGAGAAAATGGCTGAAGAGCTACAGAGGCAGAAGACATCACTTGGTGAGCCAAGTTCAGTGGCCTTGACAGCTGGAGGTGTGGGGGCTGGCTTTCGAGAAGAAGGAGACTGAGCCACTGGGAAGGGCAGTCAGATAATCCTCATCATTCAGTCAGTCAGTGGAATTCTTGTCTGCAAAATGATCACAGGAGAAAAGCAACCTCACTTATTTAATGTTGCCTTTTTACCTCTTGCCTGGTCTTTTTGTTTCATTATCTAAAACAGGCAAAACTTAGGCAATGTTTGCTTTGAATGCTATAGGGAAACAACTTGGGCTCACTTCCTGTGGTCAGATTCATGTGTGTGTCTTGAGGGGATGAGCAATGTTCAGTAGGCCCACTTTCTAAAAGCTGGATATAAAACCAGTTTTAGAAGCCAGTCCACATCCCAGCCAGTTTTCTTGCTAGTTGTGTTGAGTGTGTACGTGATATCGACTTACCTGTGGCCCAGTGGCTACCTCTGTAAATGAAGATGCCAATACCTATCATCATGTAGGGCCTGGGTACACCTAGATGAATAATGCATGCCCCTTACTGAGAACTCAGCAAGGGTCAGCTGGCAGCTAGCTCTACTGGCAGTGCCATGGTTCATGGTGGGGGCAATACTGTCTGTGGGAAGAGAGAATGGCACTGAAAAGGAGCAGGAACGCAGGGGGGTGACTGTGAGTCTTAAAAGAATTGAGCTGGTGAAGTGTGGCAGTGTTTTCTTGAACGTAAGTTGAACTCTGTTTTCAGTTGATGGTGTCCCTGTCCTCCTGTTTGAGTCTCCCTGCTCAGTGGTATACAGCCCCACGGTTCCCATTAGGAGTCACCAGAACATGATGGAGAGGAGACTACAAGAGATGAAGGAGAAAAGGGAAAACCTTTCCCCTACCTGTAAGTGATTACTTTGTAAAATGAAAATTATGTCTACTGGTGAATTACAGAAGATGTATTAAGTCATTAATACCCTAGAAATTTTCTACGAAACTTTGAAGGTTTTTCAACCACAGCACTGTTGACTTTTGGAGATAATTCTTTGTTGTGTACACTATCTAAACCAGTAATAACCCTCCCTCATCTTGTGACAGAAATTGTCCCCTGTCTACTTTAGCACTGGGGTCCTACTTGGAGGTAAATCCTAGGAACTTTCACAGTTATCAAACAAACTGAAAACATTCATTTAATTCGGTTTAAGCTTCAGGCAAGTTGGATTTTCAAATTCTCATCTCACATGTGAGTCCATAAGTTAATACTTTTGGGACAATAATTGCTAGGAATTCATTTTTTTCAGTCTTACATCTACAATATACTTTACATAGTTTTTTCTACTCATTATATTATATTAAGCTTAGAATATACTTAGGAGCCCTTTAATATGTGTATGGGATCAAGAGCAGAATAGACAGACATCTTTGTCTTGTCCAATAGGAAATTCTGTGGTCCATTTCAATGACATGTCATTATTTTATCAGCTTCCCAGATGTTTGAACAGTCTCAACAGAATCCAAATATCGCTCTGTGTGAAGCATCTTTGAACATTTCTCGTGAATCTTTAAGTTCAGGTAAAATTGTAATATTTTTTTTTCTTTCTGTAACAAAGCTACGATTTGAAAGGGGTGTGTGTGTGTGTGTGTGTGTGTGTGTGTGTGTGTGTGTGTGTGTGTGTGTACTCATACTTGTACTTTATGAGATAGTCTTTTACTATGAAGCCCTGGCTGGCATGGAACTTACCATATAGACCTTCCCAGAGCACCGTGTCAAGGAGGGTGTATCTTTGTTGCCTCTGTTCTGTTCTTTTTTAAAGTTAAACTTGCATTGTCTCAAGCAGAAGTTAGAATCCCAGTATGGCCTCCAGATTGTGTGGTTTCTCTAAAATCGAAGCCCTCCACCATCCAGCACTGTGCCAGTGGAGAACCAGCTTTGAGTGATGACCACAAGTTCCCAAATGAGTGAAAAATGGTGACTGCCCTCCAGTACCTCATAGTGTAATGAGAAGACAGGGAACCTTATGCTGTGATGATTATTGCTATGTCAGGAGAGGGTGTAGCAATGTGACCAGACAGGGTGAAGGGATTCACTTGTGACATTGACATTAAGGTGGTTTTGAAGGATGAATTGTGTTTACCCACAGTAAAATGTGGAGGAAAGATGGGGCCTGGTGTGAGGAGCCTGGAGACTCAGGTGATGGGGCATTTTAGCATTACTCCTGAGAAAAATGCAAGCGTCATTGGCGGTCAGAATACTGAAGGTCCCATGAGATTCATTTGAAATATAAATGTAACATGAGAGCTTGCCAGAAGAGCTGAGGAGGGAGGGAGCTGGGAGTAGGAGCTGAGTTATCAGAGGAAATGTTTCATAGAAGACCAAAGCTTAGCCAGCTGGTGGCACACACCTTAAACCCAGCATTTGGGAGGCAGGAGCAGGCGGGCCACCTAGCTCTGCATAATGAGACCGGGTCTTTAAAAGAAAACAAGGTAGTCTATGGTCAATTGCACATTTTGAAGATGATTTTTTTATTGCTCTCTCCAGATGAATCCTTTGCCAATTTTTCACACTCATCTTTTGATGGTCTCTGTGGAAATCAGGAAAGGAAACCAGGAAGATCTGCTAATGAGATGGCCAGCAAGGCATGCCTTTCCTCACCTGTGTTGAAAACAAGCGGTTCTTATGAGTCAGCATTGCCCAACCTCCTCTCTCAGCCAAGTCCTCCGAAAGCTGCAGACAGTCCTCCACAGGAGAGGGTCAGCTGGCAGAAGGAGGCTGCAGCTGAGAAAGCTGACCCGGAGAGAAAGCAGGCTGCAGCTGTGTCTCCGGGGACACCTGACGAGAAGCACTGTCTGTCTCCTGCAGCATCTGCCATAGATGAACACTTGGTACGTTTGGGACCCAAGAGTTCCTCGGCAAAGAGAAAAAGGCCAGCAGACTTGGGGTCACCTCCAAAAGGAAAGAAGAGGTACAGTAGGAAGTCTGCCCTGCCGCTACAGCTGTTCCGGTCTGACCATGATCTGCAGTCCACGGCCGGCCCCATCCCGGGGACTCCTGATGTTGGGGCTTCCTCTTATGAGGACTACTTTTCCCCTGATAATCTCAAAGAAAGGAATTTGGAGACTCTTCCTCCTGAGGCTCAGCCATTAGCAAGCCCTTCTCTGTTGCGCTCTAAAGGTCTCTCAAAGTGGGAGCGAAGAAACATCCTGGAAATGTGTGATTTTACCAGCATTGGTAAAAATCCCAGATCCATCAGCATTACTGACTTCATGTCAAAAGGTGCTTCTAGTCTGGAGAAACCTGACAAGAAAGTGAGTACAGTTCCTAGGTGCATTTTGGTGGGAACATCTGCTGAAGAAAGCCCAAAGCACTGCAGGCAGCCTGGCCCTCAGCTGAGGGAGGACACAGGCCCACAGGGAAGCACCCGTGCTAACACCCAGAACGGCCCTGCTCGCGGTGCCGTACCCTTGGAAGGAGGGGCTGAGGAAGCAAGAGACCCAGCTGATGTAAAAGGCTCCCCGAAAGACAGCACCACTCCGCCAGCTTCGGCCTCTTCTGAAGGAGAAGCACACAGCTTCAGTTTGGGAGAGGATTGTAATGTAGAAAAATCTGTAGAAGAAAAGGAGAACATATCCACAGCATATAGTGAAAGTATGTGAATATCATTTCCCAAGTATTTTTGTTTGGCCAGTATGTAATACTGTGTTCATATTTTAAATTTGTCACAACTTCATAATTTAATTTATTCCCCCTCCCCTTCTAAGGAACATGTGTTTGATATTTCGCAGTGATGTTCTTTAGGGATAGGTGGCAGGCCCTAAGCTTTCCAGTCAAGTCTGTTCCATAAATACGCTTCCCCAGGCTTTGTCCTTGTGGACTAAAAAAAAATAGTAATACTTACTATAAATGGTTGGCTTGTGCCTCTCTGTACGCCTCCCTCACTTAGTATGACTATACAAAGAGGTGACTGATAGAGGCATTTGTTTTTTGTTTTGTTTTGTTTTGGTTTTTCGAGACAGGGTTTCTCTGTGTAGTTTTGGTGCCTTTCCTGGAACTCACTTGGTAGCCCAGGCTGGCCTCGAACTCACAGAGATCTGCCTGCCTCTGCCTCCTGAGTGCTGGGGTTAAAGGCATGCGCCACCACCGCCCGGCTGAGGCATTTGTTTTTTAATTTTAGGTTCATTTAGGAAGGGTTTTATATGTGATACGTGCAGTAAGGAAACTGCCAACATGACCCCTCCATAATTAGGGTTTTGATTGTGAATAAGAAAGAGAAAGTATCCAGAGGCATCTGGAAGAGTCCAGAGCAGAGAAAGAGAAGCAGACTGGACATGGCCAGGGCTGTCTGCCAGGCCAGGGAGAACAGCAGGAGCAGAGTAATACACCTAGCAAGAGTGGTGAGGGAGCAGGACGTAGGGAGAGAGGACAGTGGGAACAGCAGGAGTGCCCGTGGCTGGGGATAAAGAGAGTGGGATCTGAGGTGAGAAGGGGCTCTGTACAATAAGTGCGTGTGAATAGGAACTGAGGGAGCCCGGAGCCAGCATGGGCTTTGATATGCAGCCATGTGTCCCTTCTGCTAGACATAAGGAAAATGACTCCTTCTGGTTGAAGGGAACTGGTTCCACAAGTTCCTGAGGATTTCTGGCTTTTATCTGATCACTAGAAATCCTCCTATAGTCCAGGTTGAGCTGTTGAGCTGGGCATAGACTCAATTTTGGACCAAGTCAGTGGGTTTGCCCTTTTGGACCTGACATATTTCTACTGTAGAACTCTAGAGAGAATCAGCTGTGATTTTGCTAAGAAAAACACGAAAAAGTAAGTTTTGAAATTTGTCATCAGTGTTCACTTTTGAAGAAACTTTGGGCAATGTTCAATAAGAACAAGTAGTTTTAGAACATTTTGTTCAATTAAGAATTTGGTTATGACTGGATGGTGGTGGCAGCACTTGCCTTTAATCCCAGCAATTAGGAGGCAGAGGCAGGCGGATCTCTGTGAGTTCCAGGTCAGTCTGGTCTACAGAGTGAGATCCAGGATAGCCAGAGCTACACAGAGAAACCTTGTCTCAAAAAAACAAAACAAAACAAACAACAACAACAAAAAGCATTTGGTTAGTTCTTTCTCCGGCCCTCAAGTAAGAATTTGGTTGTCGCTTTGATTTCTGCTTATTTTGCTTTAAGACTACCATTCAGATAGGTTTGTTTATTCCTATCTATAATTAAATTGTAATTACTAAATTTTTTATTTGTTGAATGTCGTAATGAGCTATATGATTATAAATTTTGAGGCAAAATAACAAAAATATCAACAAGTTTTGCAATCAAAATTAAAATCTTGGTCTTTGACCATTTTTTAAAATTTGGTTAAAATGAATATGACCAAATTGGTCCATCATCATTTCTACATTTGAGGTAGCTTTAGCCACTATAGGATAGATTATGTCAGGGTAAAATAATTACAGCTCTGTCTCTTTTCTTATGAATATAAACTCACTCAAAACAGCGATTAAATTATTTTTAGATATTAAGCCGCTAAATAGCTTTTGAATAATTTATATTATAGTCATAAGAGCATTTTGTTTCATCAAGATTAATGTGTTTTCAAAATATGTAAAATCAGATTGACTCTAGTAAATATGAAATAGTATATATGTAGAATTGTTTTGTTACTTCAGGATATCCTGTCGAGTTCTGAGGTTTTATCCTCTTTTGAAGCATTTGAATATTATATGATATTTTAAAAGCATTTGAATATTGTATGATATATAAATATAAATTAAGTGGGATACAACTGGTTCCAAACAGCTTGGCACATCCTAAGCCCCAACATTGCAGGTGTGCTGTTCTTAGAAGCTGGTGTATTTCTTCATCCAGAGCTCAGCCTTTCTGAGCATCAGGCTTCAGAAAGAGAGGGTGAAGGGCATGGGCCTGGGGTGGCCCTCCAGGACTAGAGGAAATTGAGAGGTTTGGTGATGATGAAGGGGGTTGGCTTGATGGTACACATACAGGGGACTTGTGTAACTCGGGTTGACTCTGATAGTTCTGTAAACTGTCATGTCTTCCCACAAGACAAACATGGACTCATGGGGCATGATAACACCTATCTAGCCTAAACCCAAGCATTTTCTTTTATACTAATAATATTAAGACTCATGGATATTTTACATTGCCCACTGTCAGCCCAGCCTGGACTCAGGCCAGTCAACTCTTTGGGGATCCACCATAGATAGAACCATAAATCCTTGGGCTGAAACGGAAATTCTGTACCTGCTCCAGCTGGAGCTAGGAAGGCTGCTCTGGACATGAGCTCGACCCTCGAGGTCTCTCCAGTTGAATGAAAGGCTTTCAGTGTCTGCTTTCATCTCACTTGCACTTGTTGACTCCAAGATAGTGTGCAGTAAGGTTTCTAAAGAAAGTTCCCAATAATAGTTCAGTAATAGACATTGAAACAGTGGGGTAGAATCATTAACTCTTCGCAATTTCATTCTCTAATTTTATGAACAATAAACAAGAAATTTCCATTGTTAAAAAGAATAAACTTTCCCATCTCAAGTCCTCACTTTCTGCTTTGTATCATTCTTGAATTACTACTGAAGGTTAGTTGTAGACCTTTTATTGTCTTGTACACACTTCTTGTTTGTAAGGAGATAGCAGAGAAGGAAACACTGTCACCTCTATCTCCAACAGACTCTAGAGTCCTAGGAGAAGACAGATGGTAAATTTAAATAGGACATGGTGACGGCTAGTGAGTGTATCCAAGGGTGCACAATAAAGAAACAGCTGACATGACTGCCCCTGGTAGAGTTACGGTTTTTATTGTAGATATGAGAGAACAGCCAGAGGCGTCTGGAAGAGTCCAGAGCAGAGAGAGAAAGTAGACTGGACATGGCCAAGGCTAGGGGAGCAGGAGAGAAGAGTGGAGATAGCAGACTAGTACAAGAATAATAAGAGCTCGTAAAAGGTAACGGGTATAGTGAGAATAGGGGATGGTGGGGGAGGATATCTGGAAGGAGTGGAGGTGAGAAGGGCTAGGATGCTAGTGTAGGCTTTGAAATGTATAAGGTACTTGTGACCCTGAGGGAGCCTGGAGGCCAGCATGGACTTTGATATGCAGCCACAGATATGTATCAATGGAGCCATATGTCCCTTCTGCCGCACATGAGGAAAATAAGTCCTTTTGGCAGATGGGAATCAATGTCACAAGTTCCTGAGGAATGCTGGCTTTATCCAACCACCAGAAATCATAATGTAGTCCAGGTGGATCTCATTTCTGGATATACGGACTGCCTTTCAGAGTTTGGGGAATTGAAGTTTCCTTTGGACCTGGCAGTAATTAGAAAAAGCGGTACCCCGTGGTATAGGTGGTTCCGTCAGGGACCCGGACGGCCCCTCTAAGGAGGTATTATTGACTGTAGGCCAAGTGAGAGGGCACGTTTGTGTCTACTGGAGGTAAGTGCAAATGACTGAATGTCCTGCAGAAAGGAGGAGGCCAGTGCAGCAACAAGCCACTGAGCCTCTGAGGCGGCCGGGGACAGTGATCACAATGTGGCAGGAGTCAGATCCCCAGGCCCTTCCCTCCCCAGCAAGGCAGGGAGTTCCAGTTTGTTTTATGGTGTGATGAGAAACCGCTGGGGATCTTGAGCTGGAGTAACCAGATCTGATTTGTTTTCGTCGTAACCCTGGATACTTTGAAGAACAAACTGTAGTGTAGAAGCAATTACTGTCAACAGTATTTCCTTCCAGATAACTGTGTGTGTATAAACATACAAACGAAATACATTTAAAGGGATTCTCTTGCATGCATAGAACCATATTATCCTGTTGCCCAAAATTGGCCTTTTAAAAACTCATAACAACATGTCTGATATATTCTTCACAGAAGATATTTGTTTCTTTAGTATAATCTGTATTGAGGATCAGTGACATTTTCTAAAATGGGTCAAAAGGATATAAATACAGATAATTAGAGAAAGAGTTCTGCAAAATTTTTGTTGATAAAATTCAAAATTGAGTATAGTTTTTGGAATGCATGTCTACTCTTCAACAGATTTCTTTGGTAGGGGGAGAATGAGTAACCCTGTGATTTAATTGGGACTCTGGTAGGTGAGTTTCCCATCAAACTTGATTGCAAATAACTCTTTATGGCTGTTGCATAAGGTATTATGTATTCATTCTTGAAGGTGCTCTTTTCACAAAGATTGGTCCTGTCCAAGTGTGATGCCAGTTCACAAAGAGATGGTTTCCAAGCCTGTTGGGTCCTAAGGCAGTGTTTCTGTAACTGTAGGTTTCCTTTCCATGTGTGCCTTCCAGCGGGTCCTTATCTTGCACATGGGTCACTTGGCAGTGGGAGGCTGAGCAAGAATCTCTTGAATCGTGTAGGTAGTGTGATCTTACAATTAGGATATTGGTTGCTTTGTTCTTTTGTCAGGTCTGGGAAATACTGTAGTAACTATAGTCTGAATGCAGAAAGAACTATCTAAACCCAATTTGTGTGAGGGTGGTGTCTTGCTTTCTGTTTCATTGTATTTATTTGGGGGGCAAGCTCTTACTACGTAGCATACTTGGTCTCCAGTTAGTAATCCTCCTGTCTCAGCCTCCAGGCTGCTGAGACTATGGGTATGTAACAACACACTTCATTTTAACTTTTGACACTGCAAGGCAGGAAGCATGAAAAGCAGTTTGGTCATTATTGAGATGACATCCTCTACCCCTGCTCCCTCTCACACGAAGTCAGTTTGAATTGCCCAGTAGATTAAAGTCTATCAGTGGTCCTGAGCACCTTGGTATACAGTAGAGCTCCTGCTTGTCTTTGTCTAATGATACTGATGGCAGGAGCTCCGTATGTGTCTCACTGGAACACCAGCTGAGTTAGTCTTTTCCACACTATGCCCCACATCTGCCCATTGATTTAGTGCACATTTTCTCCTGTGCAGCATGTGGTGGAATTGTACATGTCAGCATTTTATGCACGTGTGTTCACTTATCTGCGCAGTTTGGCCATTTCCAAATATTGGATTCTTTTACAGACTACCAGCTGTTGGGAGTTGATGATGGACCACTGTCCTTCCAGCAGGTCTGGCTACCAGATCTTAAGGAAGGCAAGTTTCATAAACATTTGTTGGCCAACAAAATGGGGAAAAGTCCTCCAGGGAGACAGATCTACAGAAGGCCCAGCCTCTGCCTCTATAAAAGTTATTGTCTGCCTTAGACTACCTGGTATCTCTTGACTCTGTACTTTATTATAAGTCATTTAGGGATCAAGATGTGGCTATTGTCTCCAGGAACACAAGCTTCAGCTAATGCTGGATTTCTGTGCCCTGCCCATGCATGATTTAAGGGGTGCTCTGTAATATCCAGCCAGTCCATTCTTGAATCCACAAATTTATCCAATGGGAAGCTTTCTGACCACTTGATGACATCAATTACAGCCCATTTGTTCTAACCGTGGTGGCAGTTAGCAAGGCATTTTGAGATGGATTTGTGGACTTGTCTTTCAGGCATGTCCACTTGTACTGTTTGAGATTGAGACTTGCATAGTTACAAAAATGTTAGAGCTGGGGTTCTTTTCTATTCATTTTTTGTTTTTTGAGACATTGTCTCCCTCTGTAGCCTAGCCTGGCCTTGGAGCAGTCTCCCTACCTCAGCCTCTAGATCAGTGGTCCTCAACCTTCATAATGCTGTGACCCTTTAATACAATTCCTCATGTTGTGGTGACCCCTAACCATAAAATTATTTTCATTACTTTCTTAGGTGTAATTTTGCTACTTTTGTTATGTATGTTTTGTTAATTTTGTTCTGAATCATAATGCAAATATAAGTGTTTTCTGATGATCATAGGTGACCCCTGTGAAAAGGTTGCTTGACCTCCAAAGGGGCTGTGACCCACAGACTGAGAACCACTGCTCTCGAGTGTTGGAATTACACTCCTGTTCCACTGTAGCTTTCTGCTAAGTTCTTTTTTTAAATTTTTATTTGATCCTTTTATGACAACTAGGACAGCAAAGCATGCGTGCAATGAGGCTAGACTGAAAATGAGAGGCATCTAAGATGTAGAGTTTGGATAGAACACTGTGTCCACCCCCACCCTGACCTCCCCCAGCCCACAAGCTCCAACCCTACCCTGGATGACAATATTTGGAACAAGATTTTGTTCAGATGAGATCGTGAGGCTGAGGCCCTAATGAAGTCACTACTGTTTGCTGAAGAGGGTAAGAGATGCCAGGAGTCCTCCCTCCGCCCTCTTTGCCATATGAAATGGAAGCCACGAGGCTGCCATCTGGAAGCCAGGTGGGCGGGCCCTTACCAGAAGCCAATTACCAGCATCTAGTTGAGATCCAAATCTTGGAATTCTCTGAAACAGAAGATTATTCCTCGTTATCAAGTCACCCAGTTAGGGCGTTTTAAGACAGTCATCAAACTGTTATGTGGAGGACTAGCCCCTTACTGGATGGAGGCTGACTAGGGGTAGGTGGCCAGGCATTACCATAGACACTCAAAATAGATACCTGTTAGCTGGTTACATCTTATCCATACATAGACAGGAGGTCTAGAGAAGGGACATTGGCTTCGCAATGTAGGTTCGGCTGGTGTTACAGGACACAATGTCACCCAGGGGAGCACAGATGTGACAACCCGTGAAAGCAGTGCAGGAGCAGACGTATAGCCCAGGGGAGGGTGCCTGGGAGACTGGAGGTGGGACCAGGTTGGCCCCACAGCCAGCTCAGCTGTTTTTGGTTGCCTAGTGACCTTAGAGAAAATGTGAGCAACCTCCTATGGCAGAGCGTGTGAGTGATAAGTAACTGAAAGCTGTTTGCTTGCTTCATGCTATGACCCAGGGTCTTCTGTCCTTATGGATATTCTATTCCTTAACTACTTTTAATCTCAGATTTAAAAGATGGTTAAAAACAAATTATGTTGTGTTTGCGTGTTAGGAGCTGAGAGGTTTTTTTTTTTTTTTTTAAAGATTCCTAAAAGCATTATGAAGCAATATAGGAATGTTGGTATCCCAGAGTGAGAAAGCGCTGCCACTTACAGCAGATTCATTAACCCTTTACCTGCCTGCTACAGTCCATTCCCCTCTTTTAGCAATTGAGGGCTTCAGTGGGTGGGCAGTTATCCAGGATTGAGGGAATCATGACATTTAAAAGATGGCTGAAAAGGAAGAGGATTGGTGTGTAATTGGTTTGTCTCCAAAGGGACCCAATTTAGATATTTATAGGCAAAGAATGTTGACCTTAAAATATTTCTAGGGCCCAGGATACAAATAACAGCTAGTTTGAATTCCAGAAAACCCTTAACTATTATTATTTTTTTTAAGTTTACTGATTCATTTTTATGATTATTTATTGGGGGTGTGCATTGTGCACCGGTGTGTGTGTGTGTGTGTGTGTGTGTGTGTGTGTGTGTGTGTGTGTGTGTGTGTGTGTGTGCATCAAGACAACTTGAAGGAGTTAGTTCTTGCCTTCTACCACATAGGGTTTGGGGATTGGACTCAGGATCCTTTACTCACCAAGCCGTCTTGCTGCCCCTTATTTTTATTTAGATGGAATTCTGGTTTGGTTTTGGTTTTGTTTAATTTAACTTCTTTATTGACTCTTTGGGAGTTTCACATCATGCACCCCAATTCTGCTCACCTCATGGTTCCCCCATACTCCTCTCCCCTGCTACACCCCCCCAAAACAAAACAAAACAACATTAAAATCTCTTTTCTTCTCCTCCTTTCCTGCCTCTCCATTACCTCTTCATTTGTCCTGGTGGCACTGGGGCTTCAGTGTGTCAGACAGTAGACCCCTTTGTCCTATCAGCTTTACTAGCAAATGTTCATTGCGATGAGTCACTGGTCTGGTTCAAGGCCTGTTGTTTCTGGTATACCATCCTCAGTGGATCCTCACCAGAACTCCCCTGGAATATCCTGTGGCCACCCCAAGTCTTGGGGATGACTGGTCCACAGGACGAGTCCCTTCACAAGCTCTAGCAAGTCCTAGATGGGGTAGATGCTAAGGTAGGTCAACCCAAGGCCCGGCTGTGGGCCTGGTGGTAGCCAAGCTAGTCGGTTCAGGCCACTGTGGCCACCCATCTTGGGTAAGGGGGCAGAGTTAACTCCCCTACATGCATGCTCTCACCACAGGTGAGGGGTGGAAGCCATCTCTCTTGTTATAGTGTCCAGTGAGAGGCAATGCCAGCTCTCTCAGGGCCAGTGAAGGGCGGGGCTGGCTCAGCATGGCCCTCTGATTTCATTTCCCATGGTTCCTAAGGCCTCCTGAGGTGACACAGGCCACAGACATTAACACAGACCCCAGCTGCAGCTGGACCCAGACATGGCCCTTGGCAGCATCTTGGGCCCAGAAGACATCCTGGCTCTGGGTGGAAGGAGTGGCTGCTATTCAGGTAGGAATGGTTCTAGCTATATGGCTACTGGATACCACCAAAGCCTCAGATTGTGACCCCAACTCTAGGCCTCTGTGTGACCTTTGGTGGCAATGCATGACCTGCACTTCAGCACAGACCCCAGCTGTGGTAGGACGATGGACCCCGACATGGTCCTCGTTAACAGCTGGGTCTGGATGCACCACTGCCCCAGTGGCAACATGGCCCTGAGACATCAACATGGCCCTCTATCTCTGGTGTCTGCACAGCTTTCTATAGTAACAGGATCACTGAACATCAGCACAGATGTTCAGTGCTGATGTACCCTGGCTGCAGTAGGGCCATGGACCCTGACATGGCCCTCAGCTGCAGCTCTGGCCTAGATGTCACCATGACGTTGGGTAGCAGCACAGGCCACTCAGATCTGGATGCATCCTGGTCCTCAGACACCAAACTGGACTCAGGTGGCTGATCTGACCCTGGGCAACCTTTATGGTACTAAGTGGCAACAGGAGCCACATAGGTCAATCCAGACCCTAGCCTCTATAGAGCCATAGAACCAGACATGGCCTTCAGTAGCAGCCTGGGCCTGGATGACACCATGGCTCTGGGTGGCAACACAGGCCTCCCATATCTGTATGGCCCCTGCTGTGGCATGGCCCCCAGACTCCAATCAAGCTGCAGGCTCTGGCTCAGATCCCTGGCCTCTGTATGGGCCCTAGTGCCAACCTTGGCCACAGACTTCAACACAGACCCAGCTGCTGGGCCACAGGCCCAGACATGGCCTCAGGCAGCAGTTCAGCCTGGTCGACATCCTAGCTCCAAGTGGTAGTCCCGGCCACTCAGATCAGGATGGCTCCGGCAGCGGCATGGCCCCTGGACACCAGCAAGGCCACAGGTTGCGGCCCAGAATTGTGATTTCAAAGCATGAATGGAAGTTTTCAAGTGTGACTCCTTAAACACGGGTCCCTATGGGTTTTATCATACCGTCCTATCTGCAAAGTAGACTTTGTTCTGCCTACCCTTTAGTTTCTGCAAGTGCTTTTATTATTTTGCCTTGGAACATATTTATGTGTGTGCCTAGCGTGTGTATTGGACATTGTCTTCCATACTGGGCCATCTGCAGTGGCAGCCTCACCCTGTGCTTGACCATGGACCAGGGTTCAGGTAGGATGTGCAGTTCAGCTGCCATCACCTGCTACAGCTGCTGCCTGCCAAGATCGTAAGTGTGGCTCACGTGTGCCCCATGTATGTTCTCCTTAAAAAGCCCAACTAATCTTAGTAAGCAGACTCCTGGAGAAGAAGAAGAACAGAGAGCTCATGTAAGGCCGCACCTGTAAGGGTCAACTCACATCCTCTCCATTCTCTGCAGCTGTCATCCCACAGAGCCACAGGGAGCGCACTGGATTCTCTTGTGGGTCTTTGTGGCAAGAAGTTGGTTTAATGTGAAAATCTAGTAGGGAGCAAAATCAAATATGTGCAGATTAAAACCTGGAGCTTTGTACTGAAGACTGTTCTAGAAGAACTAAGTCCAGTGCTGGGTTTTATTATTTTGTAATAACCGATTGCATCTAACAGGCGTCTTCTCTGAGAAGCTGGTTTTTATTACTTGGTAATTTAGAGTTGTTTTGGATGGTGCCTAAGGAACAGAGGCGCAAACACACAGGTATGGTGAAGCACTGACCAACCTTGGAAATTTGCTGGCATGTTTGCAGGGACTTGCCTGCTAACTCTAAATAGATTTTTTTTTTTTTAATTTTTAGAGCTTGTATATGAATGTGGTGTCTGTGCATGGACATGTGTGGAAGTACATGTACATGGTATCTGCCATTGCTCTTTGTCTTAGTCTTTGAAGCAATGTCTCACAGTTGAACCCAGTGCTCACCTATGAGGCTTGTCTTTAAGCTGTAGAGGGTTTAGGTCTGGTTAATTCTAGTGTGTGATGCTTTTATTTATTTGCAAGTTTTAAGGTTTAATTAAAACACAGACAGACAGACAATATGGGTAGTCTGGCTAGTGAGCTTGCTCTGGGAATCTCCTGTTTCAACCTTCCAAGTACTTGAATTACTAACAAGTGCCATACCCACATGGTGTTTATGTGGGTTTGGGGATCCAGACCCTGGTCCTTAGACTTGTGTGGCAAGTGCGTTATCCATTGAGTTGTCTCCCCAGCTCTGTCTCTAACTAGATCTTAAAAGAGTTAGGTGGGTATGGCGGTGATTGGCAGAGTCTGCAGTATTCTGTTCCCATTCGGCATAAACAGAACGCTTAATTTTTGTTGTGCCTAACTTACATTTGCATTCAATCCATGTTATTTCTAACTAACCTTCACTCCACTTGGTTTCAGGTGTTAAAAATGGACCAGTGAAGCCTGAAACTTCAGACAGCTCTTGCACAGGCCTTGTCAGACCTCGACAGAAAGCAAAGAAATGTGACAAAGGGCAGAAGGTCAGTAGATAGAAATACAATTCCCAACCTTCCCATGCTCAGATGTCATAATGACTACTCTATGCACCGTGTGTTTGTTTACGAAATTAATCACAGGTGAATGTGGGCAGTTTGGGTATAACACTGAGAGGTCTGAAGCCATCCAGGATGAAGTGTTGGCATCCACAAACCTCGATTCCTCATGTGACTTTACCACCACGTGCCTGGCCGTGAACAAGCCTCCTGCCGCTCTCAGGCACAATGGGGGCCGGTGTCTTGCTCTGTGCTCATTTGTAAAATATTCACTAGATAGGAGTAAAGCGCTCAGATGTCCTTTATTTGTGAAAAATCAAGGCCTAACATAAAACCCTAAGACCAGTAGTCATAAAGCTCGTGGAGCCTATGGTGAACTTGAAGTCGGTATGGTAAGGCGAGTCCTTCCTGATAGGCCAGGAAGATGGCTGCAGAGGCTCCATCGCTTAGGCATTGCCAGAAGTCCTGGTTTAGATAGAGGTATGGCGAGGACAATGGCCATGCTTTTGTCTGTTTGTGGGTTTGAAGAACGATAGAAATTTCTTGATGTGTGATTTCTCTTTCAGCTTCCCAGCACATCGAGATCATTTATGCAGGGTGGGGATGGGAGCTTGTTTGGCATCTGGTATTGATATGAGTCAACAAAAACACTGGGTTCGGTTTGTGGACACTGAAAGCTGACTGTAGGATTGTAGAATTAGATTGGTAAATTAAGTACAGCTTCCTCGTTTGAATCATCTCCAGGTTAAGCTAGTATCTGTCATTTCCCCCTTTCCCCTCAGAAATGGAGAATTTTGCCAGATTGTTTTGATCCTTAATAGACTTAAAGATAGTCCACATTAAACTGAAATTTGAGACTTTGACAGGGCCTTGTTTTTATGTACAGTGCAAACCAAAAGATTCCATTTTACTAAGCACGGAACTTGTTCCTGTTATCTTTGTGACATCTTGTGATTGACCCAGGGATGTGGCTCAGCAGTATGCCTGTCTGGGATGTGCAAGGCCCTGGGTTTGATCTCCAGAGCTGCAAAGAAATGAAAATCTTGCCATTGAATGTTAATGTTGAAAAGAGGGTTTCAGTGGGCGGTGGTGGTGCACACCTTTAATCCTAGCACTTGGGAGGCAGAGGCAGATGGATCTCTGTGATTTTGAAGCCAGCCTAGTCTACAGAGGGAGATCCAGGGCAGCCAGAGCTGCACAAGGAAACCCTGTCTTGAAAAACCAGAAGAGAAAAAAAGAAAAGGTGGTTTCATCTGCTAATTATTGTGGCACATGTAGACCAACAGTCCTGGTGGCCAGAGTACAGTGTTTTCATGTATGCTTCTGCTGTAGGGATGAACACAGCTAGATGTTTCTCTGGGCACTAATGATCTTCTACCCCTGAAGCAGCAAGGGTAGGTGTTGTCCCATCCTAGCAGCCCTGCAGAGGCAGGCCAGTCAGAGTAGATAATGCTGAATCCTGTGTCACCTGGAGATTTGAGGTAAAGGGTAGGGAGTCAGAGACTGGCAAGTGTGGACCCCAGGGATGCAGAACAGTCCTGGGGGCCCTGAGAAGACCCAAGATCTAAGCATCAAGGGAGATGAGGTACCCTGTGACAGTTGTTCCAGAGTGCTATGTTTATTTATTGTGAGCCTTCTTGTTTGATCTTTAATTTGTTCTGGGAAATTACCAGCTATTGCTGCTTCTGCCCATTTTCTCAACTCTTTGTGGTTTTTTGAGACAGGGTTTCTCTGTGTAGCTTTGCACCTTTCCTGGATCTCTCTCTGTAGACCAGACTGGCCTCGAACTCGCAGAGATCCTCCTGCCTCTGCCTCCTGAGTGCAGGGATTAAAGGCGTGCACCGCCGCCGCCCGGTGCATTTTCTCAACTCTTTATTGCTGGCAGTACAGTGTTACCGTGTGTTACCCATTGCTTCTGGAGTTCAGACCTTGTGACGTTTCTTTCGTCTTGGATCTGTTTGTAAGACAGAATTTCACTCTGTAGCCCTGGCTGGCCTGGAACTTGTTGTGTAGACCAGGCTAGCTTCAAATTCAGAGATGCTTGCCTCCTCCTCCTGAGTGCTGGTGTTAAAGACATACACAGCCAAGCCTGGCCTCTCTTGTATCTTTGTTTATTTATTTTTTAATCAGTTTTGTTTCTATCTCCCCTTTTGTTGACTATATGTCCATTGTGTTGCTAAATCTACAGACTGAAGTTCCTCACCATTCATTGCCCTTTTGGGTTCTTATAGCTTTATTTGAATTTTATCATTTTCAGTTCTGGACCGTGCATGCTCATTTCGAAGTCTGTCTCTGACACCTCTGCTTTCCCTTGTTTCTGTTTTTATTATCTGCAGTTTCTCATAGTTTTCAGTTCTATATTCCACAGCAAGTAACATGTTGGTTTGGTGTCCAGTCAGGAGATGGACTGGTTAAGAGCTGGGTCTCTGTCAGGGAGTCTGAATGTCCTAGGGAATGCGAACCTCAGATGCCATGTCAGCAGTTCAGGTCTTGCCGCTGGCTGCCGGGGTAGTGATGTCACAGACATTGCTTGCCTGTTCCTAGCTTGTAGTTTTCTGACTGATCCCAGTTTGTTGGTAGATTTACAGGTCTCAGTCTATCACTACTGGAAACTATGAGTTACTTTTTATGGTCTTTTTAAGAAAGAAGACTTAAAATGGTGGGCATTAATTATATGTGTGTGTGTATATATATATATATATATATATATATATATATATATATATATATATATATGTACATATTTATACATACTTTAAAAAGAATGTATATACGTTATAAAGGATGTGTGTGTGTGTGTATATATATAAAACATATATATACATATATATATATGTATATATATATACTTTTAGCGATTGGTTGGTGGCGGATTGTAGGGGATGAAAATATGTGTACATGTGTACGCTTGCATATGGGGGACAAAGTCAACATTGCTCCACATTTTATTTCCTGGGTTCTATAAGAAAGCAGGCTGAGCAAGCCATGAGGAACAAGCCAGTAAGCAGCGCCCTCCATGGCCTCTGCAGCAGCTCCTGCCTCCAGGTTCCTGCTTTGACTTCGCTCAGTGATGGACTTAAAAGCTGTAAGGTGGAATAAACCCTCTCCTCCCCAGGTTGCTTTTTGTTATGGTGTTTCATCACAGCAATAGACACCTTAAAACAGTGATCTTACCTGAGTTTCTCTTTAGCGGGAACAAATACAATTCAGTAAAGAGTTTATAGTCTCAAAATTATAGCTTCCATTACAATGTTTTTGATTAGACACCTACTTTCAATAGGAAAAGTATGTTTACAAATCAGTCTAGAATCAGTCTCTTTTAGATTGACAATTCTAAATATTTATAAATTTTCCTCTTTTTGTGCTGAGGACTTGGTTAAGCAGTTTATCAGCTCTCCTCTCTTAGTTTATAGTATGTTTAGTTGTAGGCGATGATAAAGTTATGAATCATTCCAGGGAGGGAGGAATATGAACTACTCAGGCAAATTGACCATTGAGGATTCTTGAGCATAGAACCGGAGGAAGCTAAATGCGGGCTTCATGCTTGAACTCCATAAAAGTACATGAACTCTGTTCCTCCACGGTTTTTCATTTGTTCTGTTACTCCTGGGCTTGTTGTTGTCCGAAAGATTATTATCCTCAACAAAAATTTAACCTGAATCATCAACTGCATAGCTCTTGGTCAGTGGCTGAGTTTTTAAAATCTCATTTTGGGGCTATGCCTGCCAATCCAGGTTGTTCCACAGGAAGGCAAGCTGTGGGTCAGAGCACAGAGGGTTTGCAGATGGCTTTCAGAGATGCAAAGCCTTGGGGAGAAACAGAGGACCAATGTACCGCACCTATTTGACAAGGTTTTTGTTGTTGTTTTAAAAGAAACCATACACCAGATAGAATGCTTACATTTCTATCAGCATTTTAAAAAGATTTTGCACTATTATTATTATTATTATTATTATTATTATTATTATTATTGTGTGTGTATGCACATGTGTGCTGCAGCTTCCATATGGACATTAGAGGACATCTGCAGGACTTCCTTCTACTGTGTGGGTTGTCAGGCTGCACAGCAAGTCTTTTTTCCACCTCAGACATCTCCCTGGCCCAGAATACTTACATCCTGAAAAGCCTTGTACATGAGCAAGGAAACAAATAGCTTGCATGTATTTTAATAATCGCTGTTCTCCCAACTTTACTAGGCTATGAGCCAATAGGGGCATGCTCTGTGATGTCTTGCAGTACTCTGCATGATACAGCACTCCATGGGATAAGGGATATAGTGTGTGTGTGTGTGTGTGTGTGTGTGAATATTTACATATGTATGAGTACACGTGTGTGAGTATGCATGCATATGGAGGCCTGAGGTAGGACCTGGGAGCCTCCCTTGGTTGCTCTCCCCCTTACTCATTAACTCAGGTCTCTCAGTTGAATCCAGAGCTGGCAAATATGGCCAATCTGGGTAGCCAGCTTCCTCTAGGGATCCCCTGTGTCTACCGTCCAAGCACTGGGATTGTAGATCGGCTACCACACCTACCCCGTAGGTTTGCAGATCTAAACCTCAGCTCTCAGGCTTGCACAGTCAGTGCTGTACCCACTGAACCACCCCCAAGCCCTCCCTTGTATGCTTTCATTTGTTTCAAGTGTGTGGATGTTTTGCCTTTATGTGTGTCTGTGTACCATAGTGAGCAGTGCTCACAAAGACCAGAACAGACACCAGATCTCCTTGAACTGGAGTTCTAGATTCTGAGCTGCCATGTGGATGCTGGGAATCAAATGGGGATGGTCTGGAAGAACAGCCAGTGCTCCTAACCACTGAGCCATCTCTCCTTCCCCTCTTCCATCTTTCATTTGGACTCAGCATGTTTCGGTCATTTCTTGTGCTCTCTGTCCCCACTCCATTGGAATCGTTGCCACATAGTGTGTGTTTTTGTTGTTTTTTTGGTTTTGTCTTTTTGTCCATGCTCCCCTCCTAGAGAGGTGGGTTTTGGGTC